CATCACCTAGTGATTGTGTTGTTCCTTTTCGTCATTCTGCCTTTGGGTTATCATCTTTCTCAGTGAAAGCTATTATTCACTGGAACACTCTACCAGAAGACATAAAGATGTGCACATCTATTGACATGTTTAAATTAAAACATTTTTTTATTTAAAAGCAACTCAAATCTGTAAACACTGATACAGTTGTGGCTTAACTGAACGTTATCTTTACTTTGCTCTGAAGGGATGTGTATAAGAATTACTGTATTGTATGTGTTTGTTATTTTGTTCTTATGTTTATCTGTGATTATGATTACCTGCCAAGGGACCGCGGATGAAAACTAGCCATTGGCTAAATTCGTTACAATGCATGAAATGGAAACATTTATGTAAAAAATTGTACATGGTCCCTTTTCAAATCGAGTTTAATAATAATAATAAGTGTAAACCAGAGTTATTTCATTCTTACATATTTATTTATTGACTGATTGATTGAAATGAGGAACAAGTGGAAATCCATTTTTTTCTTCTCATTCTTTCATGTTTCCAGCTCGTCTGCCTGTCCCTGTCATCAGCAGAGACTCTTCACAATGTTCTTCATCATCATCATCACAGCAGAATTGTTCATTGGTGTGTTCAGTGGTGAATGTGGGTCATGTGACTCTCTCCTGGTACAAAGGAAACAGTTTATTGTCCAGCATCAGTGTGTCTGATCTCAGCATCAGTCTCTCTCTACCTCTGGAGGTGGAATATCAGGATAAAAACACCTACAGCTGTGTGCTCAACAATCCCATCAGCAACCAGACTCAACAGCTCAACATTACTGAACTCTGTCAGCCATGTGCAGGTATGCCAGTGTTGACATTAACGTTCACTTACTAAGCTGATATCTCACAGTTATACAGTGCTGGTGTTTGATAGTGATTGTTGTAGATCAGACAAAGAGATTCAGTACACTAACAGCTCATTTTGTCCATTACAGATCAGGGCCTACCTTTATTTTATTTAGTGATGATCTCTATTCCGGCTGCAGTATCTCTGTTTGTTGTCGCCACAGTCATGGTCTTCTGGATCTACAAGAAATATAGAAAAACTGATCAAGAAGGCAAGTGTTACAAACAAAACAATACTATTAAATAAAAGTATTCTCTAAATATTTTAATTAATTGATAGCTTTAATTTCCATTTAATCACAATTATTCTCACAATTCTTGTAACTAACATTGTCTAGTTCCTTTTTATAAGAAGAAATTTAAAAAAAAATAAAAAATTTTAGTTATTGGGTTTGGCGGTTCCTGTGGATTTACACTCATGTCAGAATACATATCCATATCTATATAATGGCACTGGGCAGCTATCTTTACTCGTCTCATTAGCACAAACACAGATTCTGCATTTCGCAAACTGCATCAAAACACTGGAACACAATTCAATAATACAACTTTGCCCACACCTTACGGTTGCAACATAATCTTACCTGTGTAAAGATGCACTGGTGTTCATCTCTATGAATGATGATGTTCCAGATGTTCCACTTAAAAACATTTCATCATACAAAGAATGCAAAGGACTTCACTTGTGTTAAGCGTCTGGGTTTGATATACAAATTATTTGTAAGTAATGTATCTTCACGTTTAATCATAAACATGTACTTATTGGGACTTTGTGAGATTAAAAGTTACAATTTTAAATTAAATTTGTAAATGCCATTTTTTAAAAAGTGCAGCATTAAACATTTAACTAATTGTTTGCATTAACACTTTAGCTTTGATAAACCCTAATAACATGTTATAAAGAAACAGGTCTAGTTAAGACGATTTGTTGTTTTAATCCATCTATTATTGCTGTTGAAACAGTTGAGACTCGTGATGACGAGATAACTTACACTGAGCCAGTGTTCTACAAAAGAAATGCACATAAATCGGTAAGATCATTTATTCATGCCGTGTGTCTCTGTATGATTTCAGCAGTTAGTCAGATTTAGATCAGTTTGCGTTTGTGTTTTTGTCTGTATAATGATCCATCATACACACCAGCACAATATCCGATAATTATAAAAGCCTCCTTTTTATTTTCATTGATAGGCCAAATGCTATTTCATAATTTAATCTATTAAACATTCCAGTACAATTTAATATATGTGTTGAGTGTTGCCCATAATAATGACTAACATCCCTATATCTTGTGGACACAAAGTCCACTCCAAACTTCTCAGAACTGGAGATCGGAGCATTCTGAGGAAAGATGCCATGTTTAATGAACTTCCTCCGATGCTCGTGATCTTCCATTTCAACTGACAGATGAAGGCTGCATTACCAATGCCGTCCACTAGGATAAGAAATACTCATAGTCTTGCGCTTTCTATTCGTTTACCAATTAAAATTTTCAATTCAATATTTGAGAAAAAAATTAGTAGTTTCCATCCCTGGATATTATCGTCGGTCGTTTAACATTTTAATTGTAAAACAGTTGTCAACTATGAAATGTTTTGCTCTTTCCATCTTACCTCACTCTTTTTAAACATCAAAAATGACGCTTTGCGCTGGAATTGCACGCTGTGCTTCTGTGAGAAGTAAAGACGAGCTCTTTTAAACCATTTTGTCATCCTATAACAACAAACAGAGCGCTGCGTAGCTAATGGAGTGCAGCAGAGCAGTGCAATAATTTCAAATACAGGGGGACAATTTGGTCATCACCGGTTGTACATCACAGAGAAGTTTATTTGATGTAGGCATTTTCATCTGCAAGATGTAATATTTAAGTTTTTGCGGTTGCTCAACTGCAATATGTCTCCAAGAAGTTTTCTGTCAGATGTTATAGACACCGATTTACAAAAGCAGGTATGGACCTCTCCCTTTATAGGCCTAATCAAATTTTTTATATATTTTTAATCACTAATTTTTAACATCACTTACTACCATAAAAATGACACAATACAAAATATAAATGCTATTAGAATTTTTGGAGCCTTTTTGTATCCTGTTATTTTATGGAATTGAGCTTTATGGAATAGGTTGTTTTCAATCACGTGATTCTGATGACGCGCGAAATGCAGCAGGTGGGCAGGAAGTGATTTTTCTCCATAGAAATCACTAGTAGAAACTCAAAATGCCTGTGTTTTGCTTTGTTTATGGATGCTCAAATCGGCCAAACCGAGAAACCACTTCCTGCCCTCCCGCTGCATTTCGCGCGTCATTAGTGACGTCACGTGCAAACATCCTATTGTGAAACTGAGTGTCAAAATTCTGGGCCCATTCTGGGTTTGGAATGATGTAAGTAAGGGTAAGTAAATGGTGGAGAACTGATCAGACGTGATCTCGGTTTGCATCACTGTCAAGCTGCTTTGAAACAATCTGTACAGTATAAGGCACAATAATAATAAAGGTGACTTGACTTGAATTATCCCTTTAAACTGGCTGCTTCCTGTGTTCTATTTTAAAATGTAATTTATTTCTGATGCAAAGCTGAATTTTTAGCAGCTGTTTGCTGATTTGCTGCTCATTTCTCATCATCAATGTTTTAAACAGCTGTGCTGCTTATTTTTGTGGATATGTAAAAGCATCATGTGACACTGAAGACTAGAGAAACAATGCTGTAAATTCAGCTTTTCGTCACAGGAATAAATTACATTTTATAATATATTCAAGCAGAATGCAATTATTGTACTAATATGTCCCAATTGCACTGTTTTTACTGTTTGATCATCAAATAAATGCAGCCTGTTCAGTACAAGTGATTTCTTTAAAAAACATGAAGAAAAAAAATCTTAATTATTCTTAATTCTTATTCTTCACACACATACAGACAGACGTTTTTGAATTTGTCACTTTTTTTATTTAAAGTATTTTATTAATACATATATACATATTTTTTTTTACATCACAGAGAAGTTTATTTGATGTAGGCATTTTCATCTGCAAGATGTAATATTTAAGTTTTTGCGGTTGCTCAACTGCAATATGTCTCCAAGAAGTTTTCTGTCAGATGTTATAGACACCGATTTACAAAAGCAGGTATGGACCTCTCCCTTTATAGGCCTAATCAAATTTTTTATATATTTTTAATCACTAATTTTTAACATCACTTACTACCATAAAAATGACACAATACAAAATATAAATGCTATTAGAATTTTTGGAGCCTTTTTGTATCCTGTTATTTTATGGAATTGAGCTTTATGGAATAGGTTGTTTTCAATCACGTGATTCTGATGACGCGCGAAATGCAGCAGGTGGGCAGGAAGTGATTTTTCTCCATAGAAATCACTAGTAGAAACTCAAAATGCCTGTGTTTTGCTTTGTTTATGGATGCTCAAATCGGCCAAACCGAGAAACCACTTCCTGCCCTCCCGCTGCATTTCACGCGTCATTAGTGACGTCACGTGCAAACATCCTATTGTGAAACTGAGTGTCAAAATTCTGGGCCCATTCTGGGTTTGGAATGATGTAAGTAAGGGTAAGTAAATGGTGGAGAACTGATCAGACGTGATCTCGGTTTGCATCACTGTCAAGCTGCTTTGAAACAATCTGTACAGTATAAGGCACAATAATAATAAAGGTGACTTGACTTGAATTATCCCTTTAAACTGGCTGCTTCCTGTGTTCTATTTTAAAATGTAATTTATTTCTGATGCAAAGCTGAATTTTTAGCAGCTGTTTGCTGATTTGCTGCTCATTTCTCATCATCAATGTTTTAAACAGCTGTGCTGCTTATTTTTGTGGATATGTAAAAGCATCATGTGACACTGAAGACTAGAGAAACAATGCTGTAAATTCAGCTTTTCGTCACAGGAATAAATTACATTTTATAATATATTCAAGCAGAATGCAATTATTGTACTAATATGTCCCAATTGCACTGTTTTTACTGTTTGATCATCAAATAAATGCAGCCTGTTCAGTACAAGTGATTTCTTTAAAAAACATGAAGAAAAAAAATCTTAATTATTCTTAATTCTTATTCTTCACACACATACAGACAGACGTTTTTGAATTTGTCACTTTTTTTATTTAAAGTATTTTATTAATACATATATACATATTTTTTTTACAGAATAGGAAAGAGGAAGAGCATGTGGACTATACACCTGTTGCCTTGAGAAGTGAGGAAACCCATATAAAACCCTCTCAGCCTGTGGTTGAGTTTTGAGATTTGTCAGCATATACAAATGATTTCTGAAGGTTCATGTGACACTGAAGACTTGAGTAATGATTTTTATTGTTGGTCATTTTTAATAGCTGTCTTTTTTAATTACAGTTTTTTTTAGTAATCAAAGTTGAACTCAACGAAAATGACAAATGTTGCTTTGGCAAATACATTTTTTTAAAGTTTCATTTTATTTCAGTTAAAATGTGTTTTATTTGAAATAATGAAATGGTTTTAGTTTCAGTTTTAGTTTACTATAACCCAAGTGCTTTCAAAAGACTGAACTGGGAGAGCAGCATATTCATGTGAACAGGGTATCTGCAGGATTTTTAAAATCAAATTTAAGCTTTTTAAGACCTGCACAAATAAAATTAATACCATATGCACTGGGTAGGGCATATTCAACCACAAAATGACTATAAATAGCAAGACTTACAGTTCAGATACAGGTTTTCAAAAAACAAAAAAGTTTTATAAAATGACCACAAATTTAATTGTGGCTCCTGTTTCCCAAATTTAAGATCTCTTGAAATTATAATTAAGACATTTCTTGTACCATTTAAGCTTTTTTAGGGCCTTAAATTTGATACAACTACACTTAAGGCTGTAAGAACTGTCAGAACACGGGAAACTGACGGCGAATCTCCATCTCACAGTGATGATAACTGTTTTACAGTGTACACGTTACACCCTGGCCCTAAAGCATGGTCATACCATCCTGCTGATATAAAAAAGTTTTAACCCCACTGTTACTTTAGAAAGGAATTTTACATAGTATATTTCACAATACATCAGTGTTCGTCTTACGGTCCCTCCTGCAGCAACAGGACTTTACACAAACCACCACTGCGACCAGCACACCAACAGCAGCACATATTCCTGCTATAACTCCTAAAAGCAGACTTGAATCTGTAGTGATAAAGACAGACAGTCATTATTACAAGAGGCCAACTGATAATCAATGATATCATCATCTTTTTCTAATGATTACATATTTCTACTTTGGTCATCAGTTGCATGATATTGATATTGAACTGATAAATGGTGCCTTCTGGTGGGTGTTTGAGGAACAACAGCTAAAACAACATCACAGCACTGAGAGCTCAACATGAAACAGAGGCATTTAGAGGACAACTGGCTATTACACAAAAGTGAAAGGAAAACATGAAACAAAATTACACTCACCATAGACAGTAATGCTGAATCTCTTTATGCTGAAGATGCTGATGCTGTGACGAAGGCGGATGCTGTAGATGATCTTTAACTGATAGAGTCCAGAGTCTGTGGTTCTGGTGTCTGTGATGGTCAGAGATCCAGTCTGATGATCCAGCTTCAGTCTGTCTCTGAATCTCTCTTTACACTGTTCATCTGTACAGATCTTACTCTGGTCTCCAGTGATTTCAGTGATGAGAATGTCATTAAAATACCACGTCATCATATCATTCTGTATTTTAATTACACGAGAGTCTAAAGTGACAGCTTCTCCCTCCTTCACTGACTTTCTCTTAATTTCATCTTGTTCAGCAGCAGGAACATCTGAAACAAACCAACAGCTGATTGTAGCTCAATTTTGGTTAAAAAAAAAAAAAAAACTACTGAAAAGCAATATTTGTCTACTTTTTTATTCTGAATGTGTATATTAGTCCACATATTCCAGTTTTTTGGCAAATGTTTTTAAGAAATTACATGCCTGCATGTGAAATAAAATAGGAGAATAAATAGAATGAATCTAAAGATAATAGTTTTGAATGTAACTACTATAATAAACACATTAATGTTGTGATCCATGCATATTTGGCCTGCTGTTAAATGACTCACCATGAACAACAACATGGAAGATCTTTTGAATGATTTTTCTCCTGATGGTCTGTAGTTTATAATCTCCAGTGTCTGTGGTTGTGATGTTTGTGATAGTGAGATCACCCGTATGATGATCCAGCTTCAGTCTGTCTCTGAATCTCTCAGTGCCTTCATTACACTGAACGTCTGTACAGGTCCTATTCTGATTTGCAATTATTTGAGCTATACGAATGTCATTAAAATACCATTTCATTGGGTCTTGTTGGTTCATTTCAACATCAGTGTGTAGAGTGACTGAATCTCCCTCCATCACTGATACTGAGACTCCATCTGTCTCAACACCAGATGCACCTGAAGAAGAAATGAACAGTTCATTATAAGTCAGTAAAAGTAAAAATACAACAGGAAAAAGAAAAATTATTTGCAGTGTTCCTTTTTTTCCCCTCTTCACCCCGTCTCAATGGACCTTCATTCACTCTGTGCAACTCCTACTGCTCGAGCAGGAGGATCATTCCCTTGAAGATCACACAAGGGATTTTTTTAGATCTTGTGCCAATCCTCCCAATACGCAAAGAACGCATGTTGCGTAGGGCCCCCGAAACACCAGGGGGTCCCCTTGCTGTCAAAGATTATTTAATTTTAGTTTCATTTTTGAATTTGGTCAGCGGTTATGAAAACATGAGTGATCATTTCTTTTAATGCGGTGCGCTGTCGCCGTTTCTACATAAAAATCACAGGTCCTATTCTGATTTGCAATTATTTGAGCTATACGAATGTCATTAAAATACCATTTCATTGGGTCTTGTTGGTTCATTTCAACATCAGTGTGTAGAGTGACTGAATCTCCCTCCATCACTGACACTGAGACTCCATCTGTCTCAACACCAGATGCACCTGAAGAAGAAATTAACAGTTCATTATAAGTCAGTAAAAGTAAAAATACAACAGGAAAATGAAAAATTATTTGCAGTGTTCCTTTTTTTCCCTCTTCACCCCGTCTCAATGGACCTTCACTCTGTGCAACTCCTACTGCTCGAGCAGGAGGATCATTCCCTTGAAGATCACACAAGGGATTTTTTTAGATCTTGTGCCGATCCTCCCAATACGCAAAGAACGCATGTTGCGTAGGGCCCCCGAAACACCAGGCGGCCCCCTTGCTCTCAAAGATGATTTAATTTCACTTTCGTTTTAGATTTTTGCCACTGGCCAGCGGTTCTGAAAACATGAATGTTCCTTTAACGCGGTGCACTGTCGCCCTTTCTGCGTAAAATACAAATCAGTCAAATCATGTAACGTCGTATACATTCTCCATGCCGTTTTTGCTCGATACTAAAAATTAGTTAAAAGCGCACCGAGCTGCGGTTTCCCAAGCGCTTTCCGTGTGCGTGATTCGAGATGGAGTGCAACATGGACAAATACAGGCAAAATTTGTGCTTTGTATATTTCAAAATGTCTCATTTTTCACTAAACACAGTCAGTTATGCTGTCAGTCATCATCTGTTAATCAAACCACAAAATAAAAGGAGATAATTATTCACTGCTCTTCACTGAAGATTGTTCATAACTTATGAATCAATTTATGTTAAATGTATATGGTGAAGTCTATGCAGTGCTTTATTTGTACTTTTGATTACTTTAATCAATTTCTGTAGGATATTATAGGCTAAATTGTTTATTTTATTTGTATATTTTTTGTTGTTGTATTTGCCCTATTGTTTGTCATTTTCTTTCTTATTACTGACTTTTTTAAACTCACTGTTGTTTGTTGACAGTGAAACTGCTCTGAAAGAATAGGTTAAGGGGTTGGGGAGGATTTTGGGGCCCCGACAAAGTTTTGCTTAGGGCCCCCAGAAGTCTAGGATCGGCACTGTGCATAGCTTACACATTTGCTAAGGCAGTGTTTCCCAACCTTTTTTCAGTAAAAAAATCACATGGCACACCACTTAGCATAAAATTATTTTTTTTTTTAAACGGTTAAAAAAGGGGGAAGGTATTTTTTTTCCCCAGTAATTAAACAATGCATCGTCAGAGTTGGTATTTTGGCTTTATATATGATCACACACTTGTACTTAACATTTTCTGAAAATCATACTCAAATGGCATTATCAAGGTTTTTGACGAGCAAATGACAGAGAGTTTTGGGTTTTGTCCGTCATTAGAATGGCCGCATATGAGGCAGCAAATTAATTATGTTTTCATCAATGTATAGGTTATATTGTTTATTGTAGCTACATGTATATAATGTATATGGGCGCTCAGTTTTTCTTGTTGTTTAATATTTTAATACATTTGGCCAAAATCTAATGATAAAAAAATATGATCCGCTATGTAAAACATACAAAAGTATATTGGCTACCATAGACATAAGGTTGGGGATATATTTATTACGTCTATGTTGGCTACAACAAGACGGAAAATGCTAAGACTCTTCTCTGCTCTTCAAACACACAAAAACATTAGCCTTTATAGACAGTGGTCTATATCAATTCTTTATTTACTCTTGCATCGCGAAGAAGTAGACGTCTGTCTTCAAACTGCGCATCGTGGCACTTCATTCTGAATGGAGGCAGGGTGGAGTTATGAGGTTTGACTGAAAATTTGAGGATCCAATGGCATTACGAGGTTTAGTCACAAGCTCTTTTGAATGCTTTTTATTGGTCAAATATTTGTAAAACCCACAAACAGACAGAACGATGACCAATAGCACTGATTTAAAACAATAATAACATAATATAATAGAGATAGGAAGTTTTTGATAATTTTCCACGGCACACATGACAACCTGTCAGGGCACACATTACTAGTTGGGAAACACTGTGCTAAGGTACGCAAGATCTCTCTTCCACCTTCAGTAACCACAAATCACCAGCACACACTCCACACATCCTCAAGGACATTCCCTGGACAGCTTAGCCTAGGATGAGTTGCCAAGTCTGACATAGTAAAAAGTACGCAGACAGCTGACTGGGTGATGCGTAAGGGACGGATTATTGTGTTAGTTTAGTTGGCATCCATATCACCCTGTAGCCCAAGACTGGTCGCCCACTAAAGCTAAGCAGGGTTGAGCCTGGTCAGTATCTGGAGGCTGTTTCATAAAACAAGTTTACCAAATAAGCCAGGCTTATTTCAGTTAGTCTGACTTATTGTCACTTGATTTGGTTTCCAAAAGCAAATGTACCAAAGCTCAAGCTCAGTCACTGTGGCAACGCATGCTGGGAAACTAATTCTAATTGTAAAACTGCTGGGATTACAATTCTATGTGTCACATTTAATGTCCAACAACAAATATTTTATCAAAATGTATATATTACTCAGAATTATTGCGCTCCTATCACACAATGTCTGTTTGGCGCGCAGCAACACTCGTTCACTCGCGTAAGCCTCGCCCACTCCTGACAGCAAAATGGATATATTTGCATGACTTTCTAACATTTACAGATGAATAATATAACTGTGACATGTCTGTTATGCACTGGGGAAAACACAAATGTCTCAAATGCATGAAACAGCACATATATATTCGCTGTTTGTCATGGTGGATCGATTTGATCCATGATCGACATTAAGGCCTGCTTAAGAATAAGCGTGCACATCAAATTCTCGACTATTGAACCTGGATCAAATTAGTGAGATTGCGTTAACTTAAATTATCGTTTATGAAACCGCTTTAGTCCCGATTGATTTAGGTTATTTCAAGTCAGGTTTTGGACTTTAATCCCTGCTTTAACTCATAATGTAATAACTGTGCATAATGTAATAAGTATTACATTATTATTATATTAAAATGTTCACAATGTAATAGTTTTCTCAAAATGTAATACAATTGTGAGCTCATAATGTAATAATTATTACATTATGAGAAATGTATTACATTATAAACTCACCTAAATATTGTCAAACTATTTCAGAATTCTGATGTTGCTAGAACACAACAGAGAAAAAAAGATCCCTAAAAATATGAATATGAATTATAAATGAGTATAATCAGTTTAATAAGAAGACTTGTTAAATATAATGTCTTTCGAAAAGAGTAGAGGTGTGACCTCGGCATCCTGGCCAAATTTGCCCACTGGCCTCTGACCATCATGGCCTCCTAATCATCCCCATATCTGCTGATTGGCTTCATCACTGTCCAGGCATCACACCAGGTGGATGCTGCACACTGGTGGTGGACGAGGAGATCCCCCCTCACAATGTAAATCGCTTTGAGTGCCTAGAAAAACGCTATATAAATGTAATGAATTATTATTATTATTATTAGTTTACTCAAAAAATGATGTATGGCTGTACAAGCAGGGCTCGACAATAAGGACTGCCCGATGGCCCGGGGCAAGCGTGAAAGACGTTCGGGACAGTAGACGGATTTGTCACTTGCCCGATCGGGCCACTGCATCGTCGTCACGACATTTTATCATTTGCATGTGTTTTTAAGACTTGTTAATTTAAAAATGTAAGCAATAAAAAAGCACTTGGGCGCGAATTACAACTCATTACTCGCACAGACAGCCGCATCTCTGACACGCCTGAATGGGCAAATACATACAAAAGTGTGTCAAAATATCCATCCTGGCAAGTAACTTTGCAGCTTTAACAATGATTAACCTATATTGAATTTATGCACTGGAGTACAGATGCACCGATCTACCGGACATTTTTTGTTTTATTTCAGACTATCTTCTGTTCCGTGCTTGCACACAAACTGCACTGCAGTCATTTTCCCAAATGCCATTTGTGTGGAAATATTACATTATATTTAGTCTGTAAATGGCCATTTACAGAGGCCAGAGATGCTGAAGACGGACACAAAGAGGAGAAAATACTGTAGCAGGCAGAACAAGATAACTGTTCACCATGCGCGAAATATAGGAAGAAAATCCAAACATTTAATTTTATGAATGTGTTTCTGAGGGGAACAGAACTGACTGTTTTCAGAAATGTTTTCTTTTCATTTTGTCTCAGTATGATGCATTTAAATTAGTGTTAATATGAGTAGCACTGCTGTGTTTACAGAGGTACCCAAGGAAACGCTGTATTACTGTACCATTAGCGCTGCTGCGTCTCATTCAGCCCACCTGCTGTTTCTGTTTCATACAGATGTTTTATGTAGCATAATCGCACTTTTTTTTCAATTCATGATTAAAATGCAGTGGTTGCCTCTAATTTCAAATGGCTATGAAAAATCAAGGTGCAACACAGAGTGAAGAATATGCTGGACTTTAATCCCTGCTTTAACTCATAATGTAATAACTGTGCATAATGTAATAAGTATTACATTATTATTATATTAAAATGTTCACAATGTAATAGTTTTCTCAAAATGTAATACAATTGTGAGCTCATAATGTAATAAT